TGGCACGTATGCGGTTAGACCCTCAACTTCTTGAGATAGTACCTTTCCGAAAACTGATCACTGAGCTACATATAGCGCTTACCCACTCTTCAGAAAGCAATTAAATATCCTCAGCAAATCCACAAAACAGAATTAAACAAAAATGATGGCACATAAAAATATTACAGAGCTCAACATAAATGCAATTTTCAGAAATGTCACAGAGTAATGATTAATACAGTTCAGACTATGATTCAAGAAACAACAGATATTGGACTTTACCAAGAACCTTATATCATGAATAAAACAATTTCTTCACACTGGAAGACTTTTTTATCTAAAATTCTACTCGCGCGAATTATCTGAAGCGGCGCTCTTTCACCTATACTAATTAAAACCACGGACCACATAGCAACCATAAGTTTTACCATCACTTGTTACAGCCTCATACATATCACTCTTGTCTACTTCCCACTGAGCACTAGTATCACTTCTCTTTTGGAAGAGCTAAATCTTTACGGTGCAGAAGGAGCGGAACGTAAGATTATTTCGGAGGACTTCAGTGGTGCTAGTTCTCTGGGAAGCTGACACTGAGAATTCATGGGCAATGTAGTAATGGAATTTATAGCTCAAAAACACTACATCGTTCTGAACATCCAGTATTAAGCTCCAAACTTTGAAACTATCAAAGCAAGAGGGTGGCCTAGCGTAACGTTGGCACCTCGTTTATGGCCAAGTACAAGTACGCCAGAGACCGAACCTTCGACCTGGAAAAGAAAATTGCCATACAAAGTTAGATGAAACGGGCTCTCGAAGGGACTCATCAGTGGCGGCGCAGACTTCACAGTCCCAGCCCGGCTTTATACATAGCCTCGGCGAGGTCGAAATCAAAGTACAAAGACGAAAAAAGATACACTCAGTCACCTTTGCCTCGAGGCACCACTCCCTCAGCATCAGTTAATTCGTGATCGGTGCCTTGCCTTACTCTGTCAGTCCCCGTTACTGGGACTACGGGGGCCAAACCCCATTGAAGAGACCCACTTAAATCTACATATCTGCTCCACACCCGAGGGGAACGACACGACAGTACCAGTACGGTCCCCTGCCACCCGAACCTACTGAGTACAATACTCGGGTTCTAGTCCTGTGAAGAGTGTTTTTGTACCCCCGTGGTTGAGACTGCCTAGGTACAGATCCTAACCAGTACTTCCCAGGACGTCTCCTGAGTCAACCCCCGGGGGGGTAGGGCCAAGTACACATAGAATTTGTCAACCAATGATCTTCCGTCCTTCGATGATCATAAAATTCAAGCTAAAGCCTCCTACTGATATGTAATAAATAGGCGATTTAAAGCAACACTTTGGCGGGCATTCGAGTCTAACAGACGTTCTCAAAATTTATGCATGGGATATCGTAACAGACTTAAATATCTGCCAAGAAAGAGAGAAACAGGGTATTTTATACGATAGACTAGTTAATAGTGTAATACATGCCTGTTGAAAGGCCACGCGAAGAAAGTGAGAAATATCACTTCCTGGCGAACTTCAGAATTCATCGTGGGAAGAAGCAGGCTAAAGGCATTGTCAAGTAAAGTCCAAGCAACCACTGATCAAAATCAGAAGCAGCATAACACATTCTTGCACAATAAAGGGAAAGCCACATGCAAGAGAAAGGTGAAATAGTCTAAAATTGCTTATCTATTAATAGTTAGTCTCTTATAACCAAGTAAAATATGCATTTGATCCAGTTAAAAAAATTGCCTACGATGAGGTTTTCCATGACTAATCTCTACAACTATAGCCAACACCTCTACCTCATCAAGTATTGACGGGGATCCGAAATTTCATTAATGCAGTTCCTTATGATGGATAACTAGGATGATTGTTAGAGACAGCCATTAATAACCGCTGACAGGAAAAGGCGAGAATTATTCACAATACGAAATTTCGAAATGTAAATATAAGAGAGGAAGTTTCACCGACGAAGACAGAAATAGATGCCATAATTCGCAATCTTGCGACGAAGAAAGCTCCAGGACGGGATGGGATCGATAACATAGTCTTACTTGTCATCCACAAAAAACACTGGAACTTCTCATGAGTCTCCTTTCAACTTTTGGGAGACTACAGTACTTTCCCAGAACAAGGATATTCGTGGAACTTACGCTCTTCCTGAAGTCTAGAAAACTTTTAGATTCCTTATCATACAGACCTATATATCTGCTATTATCAATAAACATAATTCTGGAAAGAATCAGACTGATCATAATCCATTATTTCATGAACAAAACAAAGTTACTAGTGACAAACAGTATGGTTTTCGAACGGGTAGCTCAATAGTACATGCAGTTGGAGATCTCACGACAACAATATGGCAAAACAAGGGATGATATCTACATACCTTGGCAACTGCAATAGACACCAAGAGAGCCTTCATATCCCTCTGATGGACTGATGTAATTGTCATTCTAAAAAGGAGGGTCTGTTCCTGCAATAATCACCTTCCTGCGATCTTACCTACAACATAGAAGAATTCAATACTTATACAGGAATATTATCAGATTATGGAATCTTCACAAATGATATAAACATGGGGTGTCCTCAGGGCTCTTGCCTGGAACCGACCCTCATATATGAATACCAACCTTCGTATACCTAGAATATAGTAGTCAATACTGCTTTCCATTATTTTCAAGATCTTGCATATGCACGTTCTATTGCGTAGGCTGATGACTATATAATCTTAGTAGCAGGAAGAAAAAGAAATAAGAGCTTAACACTGCCTCTATATATTTTCACAATGGATCAGAAAACACAAACTGCAAATCTCAGCCCAGAGAAGCAAAAGCTGCCCTGATTAGATCAACTTCGAAAACATTCAAATGTCAGTTTCAAGGGATCTCGGCCAAATGCGTTTCAGAGTTACTTTACCTCTGAATCACAACTGACAACATGTTATCCTGGCTCATAGGTTTAAGCAGACTTAAATAAAAAATCACGACCTTGAATAGCAGCATGAAACATTCATAGAAACAACAACACCATAGAAAAAGTAATGGGGTATGGAGAGGCTCTTTGGTATGGAGAACTCACATCTCACATCAGTCGTACACTCCTTTTTGTGCAAAGATTGCAGCTTCTACCCATATGTAGAGCATATAGAACGTTGTCAACTCAAGCCCTGCACCAACTAACCGGAATCCTGGCAGTGGAAAGAGAGGCAACGATTGCCAGAGTCATCATAGTGAGCCGAACATTTGTACTCTGAGAGCGCACCTATCATCAGCTGGACTGCGAAATACAAATAGTACAAAAGTCATATGAGCCGGCAGATTTCGCTTTGATAGATATTGTGTACATTGAGGAAAGTCTACTGATTACAAATGAAATACAGTTATTCACGGAAGTTCGAAAATGGAGTTTGGAACAGGATGGGTCTTCTCTCGCATTGACAACGAAACGTTCACTTATGCCTGCAAAAAGGATGCTAGAACAAAACGGCTTTGTATTTCAGGCAGAGCTACTCGCGAAAACGTGGGGCAATAAGTTACGTCCCAATCTCACAGCGACAAAAATCGACAATTTCCAGTGATTCTGCTTGTCGCTTAGAAGCAATAGTGTCGCAAAATAGCAGACGCCGACTGATATTCTAAATAACGGATATCTTGTAGTACTACCTGCCTCACAAAGACCTATCATAAGACGGGTCTCTGCTCATCAAGGGAACTCTGAAAATAAGGCAGCTGACTTGCTTGCTAAAGACGTTGTAAACAGCACAGATCTACTTGAATAACCAGCAAGCAAACCAAGATTGCACAATAAACAGATACCTTAAATAATTTACTGCAGGAATGTTAGAAGAGATGGATAAAGGCAGAAGTGAGAGGAAAGACATATCGTGTTTTAGCAAAGGTAAAACTTTGCATTTACCTGTATCATTTCCGACTCAAAAAGTCTCCATTTTATGACTGCAGCTGATAAGAAGATGTAGATCACTTCTATTTCCATTTCCCATACACCAGCACCTGGCACTTCAAAAAACCAGCAAGTAATGTCTAGATCGCATGAACAATGAATTCACAAAATAACTGCGCAACAAAGTGGTATTACAGCCAATTGAGGAAATTTCGCAGTACTGGGAGAAAAGAAACAGCTCTCAATGAATTTACGTATACAAATGTAGAGTGACAACACGTCAGCTATCACTGTAAGGATTCTAACAACACATTTGGAATATAACCTAATACACAATATTTATTATTAATGTGTGATTAAACATAATATCCTTGCATCATTCTCTTGTCATGGTATGGCTTTAGTATCGCCTGTAAAAAAATGCACCTGCTTTGTAAAAATAATCTGCCTTGTTTGTATATTAGTTTTTAAACAATAAATGCGGCCTTGTAAGTTCAAAATTTTTTCTGGAAATGGCACAATTATATTTGGTTTACCTCCGATGCCGGAAAATATCTCAGTGACACACTAGCACTTTTCATGACTATTGCTTCCAACATGCTTGCACAGTTAATAGATCTTTGTCTAATCTTCCTGCAGTGTCACGAAAAGAAAAACCCACCCTCTCGTAGCCCTATTATACGGCCTTATTCAAACACAGTAAGCTGCAAATACTACTTTCTTCACTTCCTTAAAGGCATTCTTGGTTCAAATCTTGCTCACCATGCCTAATCTGGAAGATAAATAAAGCATACGAGGTTTGCAATCCGTATTTAAAGCAAACGTGATTGCATTTTCATAATGACATTACCGGTACCACGTTTATTCGTCTAGAGCAAAATACGAATAGGCGTCATCTTTCAGATGTAGACATTTTACGCAAAAACGCATTTTGTTTATCTAACACAACTCCTTTTTAGTGCTGAGATTTCATTTTCCATGAGTATACTTTAGTGCGTTCCGATAATTCTTGGGTAAAATGTGTTCTGAAAACTTTGTTCTTCAAAACTTCACGATATTTTTTTACATCTGTTTAATGAATGGCTTTGCTTTCGTTTCTTTATAGGAATGCGTAATTTAGCAATGTCGTGTGCTATTGTATGCCTGATTCTCCTCGCATTCTCTGGTCCACTTGGCATTCTCGGGCTATTTAAAAAGCAGATAAGCACCATCATGGTCACTGGTGTCATGTACATTTTAGCAGGTAAGAGCCTGTATGCAATCAGTGAGTAATATGCTTTATGTGTATTAAGAACATGTTTGACAAACACAATTAGATAATCGGAATTCATGAAAAGTATGAAGCCTATTAAAAAAACAAGGAAACGAACTTTTCTAAAGAAACCTAGTCAGATCGGATAAAACAAAAGCAAAATTTTAAAAGTGTTTGCGTACAGCGGTGGCCGAAAAGTTAAAGCTGCCAAACGCTTGCAATTTACGTTAGATTCTGTTTTCAGCGATTAAATGAACTGGCTGCATAAAATTTTGACAGTTTTCCCTCATGTGTAATGTAATACGGTCTTCTTCCCTTGAGAAAATGCTTTAATAAATAACCTAAGATGGTTAAATATTTGGCATTTAATTAAATAATTTATTTTGAATTTGATAGTTGTAATAAAATGAAATGTCTAAATTCACAAAACATTTCTATGAACGGAAGCAAAACTAAAGAAGATAGTGCTTTTCTCTGCATTATTTTTATTTGGATGTTGTAATGTGTTCAAAGAGCAAAAGGATTTCATATAGAAATGCGGGAGAAACGTAAAGACCTCGTGAAGTGCTGTACGTTCGTCAAGAAATTACAATATATGATATTAAACATTATCAATCCCCCTCCCTTTTTTTGTAAAATTACAAGTATAACAATGATTTTGTGTCTGTGTTATGTTTAGTGCTGTTTATAAATTAGTAAACTTTCAATATTTATCTTTTTTGAAGAATCGTTTCTTATTTAGATTCCGTAATTTTCTTTCTCAACTCGAACACGCAGTTTCTTGGAAAACACGATTTACGCAGCTGGTGATAGATGCAGCTCAAAACTATGAACAACATTACTGTGCATTAATTCAAACGATCCTGAGAGATGTAATCCTGAGTCAAAAGTGTCATTAAAACTTTTTACAGCATAATTTTTCTGTCTAGAAATCCGAAATATTGATCAACAGCCTTTTAACTTGTGTTGGATCCCTTCAAAAACTGGCATATATTCCAGAAAAAAGCAACCATACACTATGCATGAAACTTTTAAGTCAATTTCTTTCGCGTTAATTAACTTAAATTTGCTTGTAATGTACAATGTCAAAACCATATTAAAAATCAAACGCTTAAAACTAGACAGATTTTTCGTTAATGTTATAAATTAATATAACAATGTTCCTTAAAACACCAGAAGTGTCTAAAATTATACAAGAAAAATATTCATATAGTTAAAAAAAAATTTTTTTTTTGGTATGTAACTTTTTAACCATAACAACAACTGGTTTAACTTACTATCAACTTATACTTGTTTTACCAGTTGCTTTACCATTTTTATAAAAATGGGCATCGAAACAAGCGGAGCACCAACTGACATCAGAAATCTCCTTATAAAACTGTTCAAAAAAATGGAAAATCTATACATGATATGGCAGATATAAATTTGTATAACTGTTCAGTATATTGTAAATAAGTTAAAAAAGACTGCATTTGAAAAAAATATAAGAATCCTTCTGAGAAATCCTCGAAGCTAAATGAGAGAGACAGAGAATTCATTTTTAAGAAAATTAAATTAAATTCCTCTGTCAGGTCTTCTTCAATTGCGCCAGCACTTTGGGTAACTATCAGAAAAGAAGCTTTCTGGAACAATTCAAAGTTTTATTAAAAAAAATCGGGACATCGTATTTCAGTAGCTGAATCCATTCAAAAATAAACTAAAAAGAGCAAAGATCAGAAGTTGCAAGAAGAATACTGAAGAGCGTATTTCCTAGTGAAAGGGTCACCCTTAGTAAACGAATTCATTTCTGTTTCGGTGCTTCCTTTGCACTATTTGTAGACAGGTGAAACTTTTGAGGTAAAGGAACCTAATACTGAGAATATAAAATTCATGTTTTATGACAAATATGCAGGGTTTCCATAAATGATTAAATTTTCTCCGAAAGTTATTTTTTTAGGTAGTTTGATACAATTATTTGTGTGAAGAAAAAACACGTCAGGTTTTCCAGCATATAGATTGGTTGTAAAATAGCATTAATAAATAATGGCATATTCCAGAGCGCAGAAAGTGGAAAACTCGTTCCAGTTTCAGTTGGAGACTCTAGGGTTTCTTGCCATTAACGATATACACAAATCTTCAAATATATGGGAAATAAAAATATCTTTAATCATTAACTGAAATTGTAGATGTAGAACAAAAAATAAGACAGGTACATTGTTTTTTTAATCGGTAGCACTCACAAACGGTCGAGCAGTAAAATCTCTGAAGATTACTAGTTCGACGTGAATTCCAATCCCGTTGAACAGGTTGGCTTGAAATTCGAAAAATGCTTTTCGTATTTGCATATGTGTATTTCTGTGATGGTGTAATAATGAAGTCTGTTTTAGATATTGTACTTAAAAGTAATTATTAAAATTGTATATTGTGGGTCAGTTTCATTCAATTCTACATGTAACTCTTTGACTAATCGTCATTTTTGTGATTTTTCCTTAATTAATGATAACCGGTATATATTGCTTGTTATCTGATCTGCCTTAAGAAGTGTCTGCCGAAAGCCTCGCAACAAAAACACAGCGGGCAAAAACGCCGAACAGAAAGCAACGCAAGGACAAAATGCTGTCGTATAAAACATATTAGGAAAAAACATAGCAAGGCGAAAACATTGTGGTATAAAACATGGTGATAAATAAAAAAAGAAGTTCAAAAACTTTTAAAATTTAAAACACTATCGCAGAATATATCGTTTTAAAAATTAAAGCACCTACAAATCATCGTATAGTGATAACAGCGCAGACATACGCTTTCTGGGAATAAAATTTTTAATGAATTTTTGTGTAATGACTTGGGGGCACAAGAAGAAATAAGGAATATTTTTAATTTTTATATTTCATATTTTTATAATAACTAATAAATATATAATGATAAAACAAGAAACGCATTTAAGCATTCAAAACCTGGAAATTTAGTAAAAATTAATACTACGTGCATAAATAGAATTTTAAATTTATGTCCAGTAAGACCCCGCTTAACGCTGTTTCGTTTGGCGTTGTTTCGGTTTAGCACTCTTTTATTTCAACCCGGGGATTGCCCCGAAATTGTGCGCAGCGCTAGGTTTCCAAATACATATCCGAAACAGTGTAGTTGTGTTTCTTGTTTGGTGCGGTGCTGTACGGACGCATTTTTATCATTTGAAACATTTGTTAACATTATTATAAGTAAAAATTTATATAATACTATAACGATTAATACAGTGACAAATATTATGATCTTTAGTTTTTATCAGGGGTGATAATAAAAAACAAGAATTTATACTATAACGATTAATAAAGTGACAAATATTATGATCTTTAGTTTTTATCATGGGTGATAATAAAAAACAAGAAAAGAAAGCAACCAGAAAAAGCATTTCACTGGAAACTAAAATGCAAGTGATTAGAAGATTAGATTCTGGTGAACGTCAATCTCAAATTAGTGCTGCGTTGAATTTGGCAACTTCAACAATAAGGAGAATTCTTAAGAATAAAGAAAAATACTGTCATCGGCAACTGCAACTACGTCAAGATCTTTAACTAGAATTACCCCTTCTAGAAATAACATTATAGAGGAAATGGAAAAACGACTGTCTATATGGATTGACGACGAAGTTGAACGCAATATGCCATTAAGCCAATCTATCGTAATGCCTTCTTGACAAAAAGGCAGAAAATTGGAAACACAGAATACACTGAATGATCTGACTGCGAATTTTATTTGTTTTTATAAGTATATTCGTTTATATTGTTTTTATTTTTGTAAGAAATAAATGTTTGGTTTTATTTTTATCAAAAAAAATTATTAAATTTAATACCTAACCAAATTTCTATCATCTTCCTCTAACCCCATTATTTACATGTTAAGATAGCCTCGTTTAGCACTGTTTTGCATTTCGCTCTACATTGATGGAACGTATCCCCCGCGTTAAGCGGGGTCTTACTGTATTATTCAATTCCTAATCATTTTTTATACTATATGTTTTTATGTAAACTACTATATCTTTACGGACGGAGTTAATTAAATAATAGCATATAATAGTCATCAATTAAGTTTAAAAAAATTTTAACTGATATATATAGCATTAATTTTTCTGATTTCCAGATTTTGAATGTTTAAGTTTGTTTCTTGCTTTTCAGTAAAAATGTGTTAGTTATTAGTGTCATCACATTCCTTATAAACAACACATTCCTTATGCTCACAAATTATTATACGAAAATTCATTTATAAGAGGTGGTGTTTTTTTTTTTTTTTTTTTTTTTTTTTTTTTTTTTTTTTTACCATGATACGGTGTACGACGATATTTTAAAACTGCGAAGTGTTTGCACCCCCTTCATTTTCTCTGCGACGGTTTCGATCTCAAGGTTTTCATATGAGAACACTTTTTAACATAAATTTAAAATCTTCTAAAAATTAAATAACATATAATATTGTCTGTAATCCATTTCATCCATTTAATAATATGTAGCAGTTACTAACTTATCATATTTTTTCTTATCAGTTTTATCCAAATTCATGCCATTTATTTTAACAAAAAAAATATTTCCATCATCAAAAGTAGCACTTCCCGCAATCACAGACAATATTCAAATTCTAAGGCTTAGATTTGAAATTGCACAATTCCTTTCATATGGCGAGCATAATAGATACAAGTATTAAATGTTAAGTTTCGCCGAAATTCAAAGACTGTATTATTCCTTAAAGATAATCAAATCAGTACTTTTAAATCATTAAGATGTATAGTACATGAAAAAGTTCTTGTAGCGCTTTATTTGAAACTGCGATTTTTTAGAACCACGTTGCTTTCTCCTTGCTTTCTTTTCCCTCATGATGTTTCCATCATGCGGTGTTTCGTCTGGAACCTTTTCACCTGTAACTTCTCAAAGGGCTTTACTGGGAACTAACTTGTGTATAGGTTCAAGAAAAGTCACGTAAACGCTAGGCAGCCAAGTTCTTTCGCTGGAAATAGAATCCGGAGTGAAATAACAATGTTTTGCTATTTCCCTTTGACCAATAGTATGCTTCTTGTAGAAAACTTTTCACTAAAATAATAATAATGAAATGTTGTTTTCTTATGACTTAAATCGTTTGAAATTAATTTCTATTTCCCTTTTCAGCTGTGTTTGGAATATTCACCCTCGCATTCATGCATTTCAAGCGAATAAAGCCTGATGGTTTTTACACGAGTACCATCCTGGACCTCAATTTACCTGAAGAATATATGAAGTGCAGGAATTTTACAGTTGGATGGCCTCCTTCAGCTGAGTGGGCTGGTTTGTGTTTATGCCTCATTGGAAGTTTATTTTGGTTGCTACTTGCCAAGATATACAGGTTTCAAATATTGAGCCCTGCATAGATTGGTCACATGGCAGAAGCCAGGAAATCTATTACTACATGCACGACAAATTAGTTTTTATCTTGTAGATATTGTCATAGCTTGATATTCACCAATCGTTATCAGATTCTTTCAAACATCAATATTTTGGGATAAAAGCACTCGAATTGATTAAACTGTTATAAATGAGCTCACTGGTCACTGGTTTGTTTTCAAGTACAATTTATAAAATAAAACATATTTTAATTATATTGAAAAAGGCAGTATTTTACTTCAGATCTATCTGGTTTTATGATGAAAATGTAAAATTATCTGTATGTTTCATTAGCCAGCCTATGCATCAAAGAATATACTGTTTTAAAATAGTGTGCCAAATAAACGAAATTCAAATGAACTTAAGCGATACGAAGATGAAGGCATCTCCATCAAGTCTTCCTCCATTTTAGTCTTTAGAATAAAAAGAAGACAGATGTGATTAGTCCAACTATGTCAATTTAAAAACGCATTGGAATACTAGCGTGCGCCATCGCATCTACTAGACATGAAGCAGAAATAATTAGTATATTCTGATTTATACAGATTTGCAAATGAATAAAATATTACTTCAGTCAAAATGTTTGGATGTAAAAACTTAGTATTAGTAATAGAGTCATAATGAAATGCTAATTTGTGATAAAGTCGTAATGAGGTGATGATTTATTCAGCTGTAAAGAAGAAAATGTAAACCAAATTAAACGTTGGTAGAATTTAGACTTAAGCAGTTGTTGATATACCGGCTTCATTTCTGATGAAAAAGATTATTTCTCGGCTAAAACATAAAATGTTGATAAGTTATAAAGCAATCTCGGAAATAGTTCGTAATAAGTCATACCGAGAAGATACTTAGTATTGGATTAAATAAAAGCATGCGTATTGACAAAAAGACAAAATCTTTGAAAATCTATTCATAACATATTTAAAATGTGATTGTTACCATACCTTGTGCGTCATATAGCTGTTTATTGGTTTCATACTCTTTCAGTTATTGATAATACATTGGACGGTATATAATATGAACATTCAAAGACTGAACTTATGTCTCAAGGGACTAAAAATATGACTGAAATTTATTATTTTGTTATTCTTTTATGCACTACATTGCAATTCTCGAAAGCACAATTATATAATTCTTCTAGGCACTTAATATTATAAGACTGTTTTAGCTGCGAATGTTTTCAGTTGTTAATATTTCGTATGGTGCTCGACAAATAATATGACCTTACAGAATTCGACCACACGATAAGAACACAAGTCAGCTGTAAATTTAAAATTAGGCAAAAAAGCAATCTGAATTTGGCGTAGGTTTTGAATAAAATTAAAACTATGCTTGCTAACTGAAGTTCATTTTCTGTATAATTTTAAATTGGCATGTTTCTCCTCCAATTTGAGATTTTCTAATATCTGCTATCAAGTGTTACGACACTTCTGCTGTGATTAATATAATAGCAGCAGAATGTTTTGTATCTTGCTGTGGTTTGCAGAAGCTAATCATTTAGCGAATGTGGAACAAATTAGAGAATATTCCAGGTCTATTCACAATGTAGGATTAAAATACATTAGGTTGACTTCTAACTGTTATTGTATTTAACAACATATCTTTAACATTTCATTGTCACTGTAAATTGGTTGGATAGGCTAAGATAATATGTAAGGACTTACTGGCTTCAAGGGATCTGGTGAGGGAGTACAGCATCAGCGATAAAATGCTTGCAAAAAGCAGCATAAAATAGTTTCAGCATAGCAATAAATTTAATATCAGTTTTTTAGTCACATGAAACCTGAGCTTAGAACATTCACATTATCACCTACTATTTCTAACTGTTCAATGAACAGTCACTTTCTAACTATTTTTCACACCTCAATTATTAATAGATATAATGCATATCAGTAAAAATTAGACAATTACAGAAGGAGTAAAATAATATGATATTTCACCATTCAATACCATAGGGACCACTTTTTTACTGCTCGTAGGTGTTTTTCATAGCTTTACTTTCAGTAAATATACTGGCAAGTATTTAAAAAAGAAATAACAATGATGTTTTCGCATATTTTTTAAAAATACATTATGTAATAAAGAAAAATTTCATTTTCAGTTGTCTGCTTGCATTTCTTTTGACTTTCTGATTTTGTATTTAATAACATTTAAATACATATGCGTGTTATAGTAATTTAAAGGAGTGTGTATGCAATTGTTATGATTCATTTAGAATTTGCATTTTTAAATTTGGAAATAATTAATTTTATAAAGACCATTTTGTTCGTAATGTATTCATAGATATACATAAAAGCAGAGGTTAGGGCTCTGCAGAGCTTTTTACAGGAAAGAAGTCCAGAATATCCGCTACTGTTCCAAGAAAATAAAATACAGTTAAAATCGTTTAACGCGAAAGAGGGGACTGAAATATATATATATATATATATATTTTTTTTTTCTCCGTGTTAAAGGATATTGAAAAAAAAAAGCCATATATTCAACAAAATTAAGTTTATTAGAGTGCATTTTATTTACATATGCATGTATTTATTAAAAATCAGTGAAAAAGACATTCACAAGAACCTAATGAAATTCAAAACAAAAATTTTATTGAGTTTTTGGAAAATAATCTGAAATTTTTCTTTACATTGTCATTTTTAGCATCAAATTGTTAACAAATTGATCAATATCGTTCACTTTGTTATTCATTTCACTATTGGAACGTACTTGTAAATAACTGCGTATACTTTTCATGATGTTCCTCATTTTGGATGACGTGGGAAAAGGAGCTGCATTACTCATTTCATTTTCGTCGTCGGAATCTGCATTAATGACATTTTCTGAGTTTTGAACAAACTTCAAAATGTCTTTGTCTGCCATAATTGGGGTTGTACAACACATTATCATCATGTACTACAACGAATTCTTCGAATAATACAGTAGGACAGTCCAATACTGCAAACCTTTTCAAACACTTTTCATTAAGTGTCGCCTCAGTTTCAACATTCTTCTTCTCTATTTCTTTTGGCGCCAAAGAATCTGATACTTTTGAGAATCGTGCATGACGAGAACAATTTTCAGTCGTCTTTGGAGTCACTGAATTCCATGCAGAGTTCAACATATGAAGAGACAGAGACATGCAGAGTACAACATACGAACTAAACTCACAGATTTTTACTCACACTGCGATGTACTCGTCACCGAATTCCAAAGCCAACTGATGAGAGATGAAAAGCTTGTGTGGCATTTGTAGGGATGGAAAGTGAAAATAGCTAGATAAACAAAACTGGCTCCTGTTATAGGCTATTCCAAGGGTATTTCAAAACCAAGTTAGCCTCCTTTCTACGAAACATGTGAAAAAACCTCTCTTTTATTCCACACCCCTCTTAGATCTCACCTGCGAGGCCAGTGTTTTCCGTATTTTGTTCATTCCCAGAAAGGAAATTTTTCGTGTTAAGCGATTTTTGTTTCCTGTTAAGAGAAACAAAATGCATGAAAATACATAGTAGTTTTGTCGGAACCGTTGTATTATTTCGTGTTAACCGATATTTCGTCTTAAGCGTTTTCGCGTTAAACGTATTTCACTGTAAATCAAAATTGATGGAATTAAAGAATAAGAAACAAAGAGTAATATCAAAATGGTAAAACTATAAATTACTTTCTGAACGGGAATTTGCCGGATTCAGTTTTTCATCTCGTCTAGTAGATAAAGAGTCGTTTGCTAAAGAGTGGTGATATATTTGTGCTGTTTATAATACGAAATATATCAAAACAAGTGATTTGGATCTCATAACACGGTCCCCTTCCTCAAGTCTTAAATAGTACAAAAGGCCATTGTGCGACAGATGGCTGTCTGTCTGGTCTGGGTCTGCACAGATATTACCGAAATATCGCGCGAAGCGCCATTTGTCCGGCTTATGACTAATAATGCCCAGTGGGCACTTGACATTACAGTTTCTTGACAATTTGATGAAGGTCTAAGGTGGTAACAGGGGCGACCATGTGTCGCAACGTCTTCGAGAAGGAAGAGCAACGCGAAGCACAGATTCAGGAGCTGTGAGGATACTGTGCTGTATGTTTGTGTTGTTGCAAAAATAACAGAAACACATCAGACAAGTGATACAAAACATGTTATATGCAATACAAGGAGGAAAACTAGGAACAAAAGATGCAAGTTATATACAAATTACGATACATTTGGTACATTAAAATACAATAAAATTCTATGTACAAATTAAGATAATATACATATGTAATGCAGAATACAAAACCTATGTACAATCAGTGCAGCGCATTAAGTAGGAAAATTTAAGTCCCGAGCCAGGTGAGCCGCAAGTGGTCTGCACATTGAATCCTCCTTGAGAATAACATAATTGGCTACATTTAAATCATTCATGTGACTACAGTCCTGAGCCTTCTTGAAAAAATTTATGCAGAAACTCTTCAACCGTATCTAATTTTAAATCTCTATGCAGCGTTTGAATTGAAATATAGTAATGAGCGTTGGTGATCATTCGTAAAAGCTTATTCTGTGTCACTTGCAGTTTATTTAATTCTTTCTTATGAACTGAGGCCCAGGCGGGAGATGCGTAGGCAAAGATGGGCTGAATAACAGAGATGTAAATGTGCCTTTTGCGTTTTAAGTCAAGTTTCGATGTCGAAGAAAGAAGTGGAGTGAGACTTTGAATAACTCCCACTGTCTTGCCTCTGATGTGATTGATGTGCTCCTTCCACTGAAAATTGGAGCTGTATTTGAGTCCTAGGTAAGTGGCACTTTTTACAATTGGCACTACAGTATCAAAGAGTTTGAGTTGAGTAGTCAGAGGAGTGTTCATTTTCATTTTCTTGAAGAAAATAAGATATGATTTGTCTGCATTTATTGCGATCCTCCACTTAGAGCACCAAAGCTCGAGTTTTGGCATGAGTCTTTGCAGCTTGGTTATAGCAAAATTTGGTGATGCAGACTTGACAGCGAAAGCTGTGTCGTCAGCATAGCACCCCATGAAGCAATTATGATCTAAGTGATCCGCAGGCAAGTCTGCTACATAAAATAAATATAATACGGAACCAAGAATAGATCCTTGTGGGGCGCCGGCCTTCACGTGCTTATTTCTGGAGCTATCTTTACCTATCTGTACATAGAAGGTCCTGTTTGAAAGGAAAGAGTGAATGATTTGTATAAGTTCCCTACTGAACTTTAAGTTAATCAGCTTCTAGATTAGCCCCTCATACCAGACGCGGTAGAATGCTTTCGCTACGTCTAGCATAACAGATGACTGTGGCGACCATAGACCTGTTATATACTAGACCGAGCATCGCCATTCAAAACGGGGTGAAAAAGCGGCACAGGAATGAGCTGCAGGAGTTTGGGCATGGAATGGAACTGAACCCAGACTTTGGCGTATTATAGCCACGGCTGGCGATTTTTTTCCCTTGTTTTTCTCTCAGTTCGAAAGGCGAACTTAGAAAGATGTCGTTTCGCAGAAGCTGCCGTTGAATTTGCAGAAGAGGTTCAATCGATTAACACCAACCAAAATTAATAATTTCCCTAAAATTGGACATTTTATTTTAAAATTTAACAGGATAATTTTCATGATGTAGAATAATATTTTGTAATATAATGTCCGTCGGCATCTACAAAATTAAAAATAAAATAAAAAAACCGGAGAGAACAAACTAAATTAATAATAATCTGTAATAATCTGAAATTACAAATACAAAAATTTCAGTGATAGATTCAAATGCAGAAGGGTTCTTGACGAATTTAGTATCGTAAAATATAAATGTTATACAAGAAAAACTTTTTTTTGTAATTAACTGCAAGTTAACTATAAGTTTAAAGAATTTTATTTCAATCACAATGCATATATTATACTGAATATAACTAAACAAACTTGCACTTTTCAAATAAATAACATCTAATGACATCTAATCATAATTACATATAACTTTCTTTATAACACAGTAAATGCATAAAAATAATTAAGTAATAATAATAAATAATTAATACATTACATAGACTCCAAAAAATCAGAAGCAATAAAGCTACAAGTGAAGCCTAGAAAAGGAGTATGTACATTCTGTACAAAAAAAAAATAATCATAATTTTATGCAGTTCTTACACAGTGTATTACATCGACATTACCAAGTATTAAATACATACATTACTACTTCGTACATGTCCGCATAAGTAAACGCATACAAAGAATATATAAACAAATGCATTTAAAGCAAAGTCTGTTGGCGTATAAAAAATGTCACCAAAGCAGAATACTAATTAAAATTACATCATATTATTAAAAGTTTAACATTTTTTTTCAGAACACAGTTATTAAAAACATACATATATATTAAGATACTTTTATTTAAATGTTATTTCAAGTATGCATATATTATATAAAATTAGAAAATCTATTATAATAAGAAAACGGCAAGTAGAGTGGATAAAAAAAACCTCTACATTTTATAAAAAAATAGGTTTTAAAACATTAGAAAAAGCTCACCTGTGAAATGTTACTCGTATCTGGAATAACATCCATATGCGGAGCACGAAAGTACCATTTTTGAAGTCCAAAACAATGCGCGTACACACAAAACACTTGCTTCTCACAAATTCTCCATAGAACTGTTATGGTAAAGAAAATTCGCGGGAAATATGATCGGGGAAATGTTCCATATGTCACGTGGTTCACATTCTTGTTCCCCCTCAGAGTTGCCGTTTCTCTCTCTAGTACATTACAGCTCTATGGTTGCGACCGCCTCGATCTGTACTGTAGCTAAAAATGTTGGCTACTGTGTCGTTGGGCCCAGGTTCGAATTCCGAAAAAAAAATGTTTTTAAATGCATGCTCCCTGTTCACCATGGGGCGTACACTTAAAACGTCTGAGAGAAGAAAGTACTGTCGAGAGGTTTTGTGATAGTGAAAGAGGAGTGGGAGACACTCGATTCCGTTTCTCGGGATGTTCTTCTTTAAAATTAGGGCTGAACTGCCTAGCTTAGTTCTGGTGTCCGCCCAATTCTATCTGTATCTGTTACTTGTTGCATGAGAATTCCAAGTCAAATATTTTATAAAATGATCTTCAATCTGATTTATATTTTTTTATTTGAATAAG